GATGGAAGGGATATATTTACATAGTCATTGGTCATATTTAATTGTATCCTTAACCGTTTTAAAGGATGACCAGAATGACGCTTACGCTTTTATTAGAAGTTGTGTGCCTAACACACAGAAGACATTAAAAACTTTTGATATCGTCTATAACAAGTTTTGTAGACGGGTATATGTCCTCCTTTTTTATCTGCAAATAAGTATCTATTTGATTTTATCAACGATATACCGGTTTTTTTTAAATAAAGATCAATATACAATGTATCCCATGTAAAATAATTTTAAAAAAATCTTTTATTAGAAAAGAAATCGCATTCTAACACAATAAGACTTATCGTTTTTTGGTACTTTTTTAAGTTAATTTGGAAACAAAACGTATTTAAATGTCCTTTTGCTCATCCCTAATGCTTTGCCGTTATTAAAGCTACTTCGACGAATCATATACCGTATTCAGTTTATGCAGTCGTCTTTACATTGACGGATGCGCGGGAAATCACGTGACACGGAAATGTACTTTCAACTTTAGGTTACTGTTTATACGGTCATACGACCGCAAATGGTCTTAGCTGCGACTGAGGCGTACGACCATGTTCAGCTCGGTCGTAAAATAATATCGCAGTAACGACCCTCTTTGTTGATAAAACGGCATCCTGGTTGATAAACAATTACTTTTTCACGTTAAAGTATAAAATTATACAAATTTCAAAGCCTCGTTCAACACTAATATATATCGGTCTTATTTTTTCTAAATAGACACAGATATGAAAATTAAAAAAACAAGTTAATGATGATAATAAATCAACTTCAGTTTGCAATCGGTAAAGTATGAATGCAATATCATATTGATTCTTTAAATTACTTTGCTGGATTAATCTGTGAAGAACTGAAGACCAATAACAGTATAAAATATAACCTATATCTTTAGAGCTACTGTGTACAACAAACACAACAGGTAAACAAGCACACACACACACACACACACACACACACACACACACACACACACCAACACACACACCAACACACACGCACACACACACACACACACACACACACACACACGCACACACACACACACATACTTACCAATCTGTATTGAAAACTTATATACCTTAAGTCTTTATAGCCTATCTTACTCAAAATCGAGGTTAATCAAATCAAAACTGCAAGGTAAAAGTAAATAATAAGATCAAGCAACTTTTGAAATAGTGAAGGGAGACTTTGAAAAGAGCCAATGACTTTTGTAAAATTTTATGGACTTTTTGATTAGCTCTCTAATTAGGAAAATGGTCAAAGACCTGTTCAAAATGGATGCTGTAGGGCAACATTTTTATACATATTTCATACTTTGAGAAGAAACAAACATTTTGCTTGTACGGATTGTAAGCTGAATTGTATTTTTTGTTTAACAACAATTCTTGGGCAAACGTTTTTTAGAAAAATGGTATTGTAGATTATTTAAAGGTTCTTCATTTCTGAAAAAGGGCCCAGCTAACATCAATGCTTAAGTTCAAAAAAGTACCCATAACTAGTTTACTGTACGGTAAAGTTTGTTTTAATTATTCCTGCAGGTGTCCTTTCAGGCATACAACTGATCTATTAATGTCATTTTCCCAGTTTATTAATGTGCCCGTTATGGCTGTCATACCTTAATTTTGGTAAATGCAACTATCGTATAGATTGTTCAATCCCCTATAAGAAATGATAATTAATATTTTATGTTTGGACAAGGTACTATGTAGCACCGTGTAGTTTGTTTGTATATGACCTTAACTAATGACCACACACTAGTTCTGGAGATTTTCACAACAAATAAGGGACCCGAGATCCTAAAAAATCGGTATTTGAACTCGTCATGGCAAAAAATGATGACTGAGTTAAAATGCTATAATGTAATATACAGACTGTAATTATTGATCAATATTCATAAACAACAAACATATTGGTCTCGCGTATGATATTTGTTTGTTTGTACAATATGACAAATTTTATGTTTTATGGCATGTTGTATATCACTTCTTAAACAATAAGATTTATATATTGATTATTTCTTTTTAGTTTATATACATAAATCTGTATCCCCTTAACGTTTTGATTATAAACTCGAACAATAACACTAACAACTTGCCAAAGAACAACGAATGTGTTTATTATACGTAAGATGTATATAATTATATTGAACAAAAATTTGTTTTGTTCTCATGAAATACGGAGCTCTTCCAGTTTGCAAACACAGCAGTTAAATACGAGTAAAATGGTTTCCTGCGGGGAACATTTTTAATGATTTAAAGATATTTCATTTAACTATTTTCAACATTGTTTGGAAAAAAATAATCGTTTGTTTCAGGAATATAGTTGACAATAATCGATCAATGAAAGAAGGTCTTTTGTGACTGGTGACCGTTGAAGATGGGAGACCGGGGAAGGTCGAAAAGAAAACAATTATTTCTTTTTATGTTCAAATTACATTGTATGAATAATTCCATGCAATAAAATAAAGTTAAGACACAAGTTTACGCTAAAATATCTTTATTTATTATGGCAGAAACCACTACGAATGTTTTAATTTTGTAGATTTTCACTATAAACAATTTATTGTTTGTAAAATTTGAGATAGATATTAAAGAAACATTGATAATTTTCAAACACATCATGCAAGTTTGTCCACCTTAAACCATAAAATAATTTAAGACAATTACAAATATTAATGTTTTAATGTTTAAAGTTGAAGACTATATATAGTATATAATTCATCAAGAACAGCGGAGTCCAGAATTAAGCCTCAAATGTGACTGATTTACTATAGAACGAAGAATACGAAAATTCACCCGACCGAGTCAAAGATGAGAAATGAGAAAAATGAGAACTGGTTGATGGATATGGATGAAACTTTGCATCAGTGTTGTGTTTATGAATAGAAATCAGGAAAATAAAGCATAACTGACAGGTTTGAAAATTTTTAATTTCGTTTCAAATTTTAAATTTTGACATTTTAAATTTGGACAGATATTGTTATTATCTCCCCTTCAAATTTAGATGTCTGCTACTGTGTCAGTAAGCAGGGAAAAGGGTACAGAGCTTTTGTATGAAAGATTAACCACGTTTTATTGAATTAAAACTGTAAAAATAAATTTAAAATTAGAAATTTAAATTTTGTATAAATCAGTTTATTAATTGATAAATTTTATTTTTGCACCCTGTGTTTAGCAATATTCTATAGCTTATTTTTATAAGATTTATATAGAATATAATATCTTTTAGAGAAATGCATCTTAAATTATGGATAAACCATGCATTGCAAGGAATTGGGGAGTGTGTGGTTTCAGATTGGTTACATTGGTAAAAAAAGGTGATTGACAACCTCATTCCAGACATCTTAGGGGCCCAAGAAGCACCGGCCATAGGATTCGAACCTGCACCATAGTAGCCTATTGCTCATATGGACCACACATTAAATGTACTGATGTTTCAGCAAAGGATTGATGCTGTAGTTATTAGTATGTAAATATTAACTATTGTCTTGTATTCAATGAAGCAGAACTAACAAGTGAACAGGACAAATGTGATTTACATGTTGGAAATACATGTATAGGCATTTTCAGTGTAGTGAAACCTGATGTTTTGCTGTGTTTCAGAATGTATTTGCTAATATATACACATGAATGATTTTCTAGTCACTTTATGTATAATTGGCTCATTTAGAAAAACACAGTTGATGTAATTGTTGTTGTTGTTGTAGCTGCTACAGCAGTTAAAATAGGTTAGGTTTATAATGTCTAAACTGCTATTTTTATGCAGGCATGCATTTTTCAGCACACACTATTTATATAAGCCCTCCTGTGTGAAGGAGTAGTTCCTTAAAATTTGAAGTGGCCAATTTTAAGTCATCTGTAGTTAAATTGGTCATAATTAAAGTGTATTTATTGCATGTGTGTAGTTTTTGTGTGTTATATGATGACTTTTATAGTTGTTTTTTTTGTGTATTCTCCAGGACATCATTTGTTGGCGGAAGGATTAAAGATGTCCGACCCGCCAGCAGTCAGGAGTTTTTAAAGTGTCGAACAGTGTTACAACAAAATGAAGATTTCTGAAAAAAGAAGATGGCTAACCTATTATATTTTGGGCCTCATTGGACTTAGATAGTGTATTATGTTTAAAGTTGAAGACAGTATATAATTCAGCAAGAACAGTGGAGTCCAGAATCAAGCCTTAAATGTGACTGCTTTACTATAGAAAATAGAATACGAAAATTCACCCGACCGAGTCCATCACATGTTTCTTCATGTACCGAAAACAGGTCACGTGGTCCTTTAGGAATGCCTCAAAAATTAAACGCGTACCAATATCCTGCGGGCTCCGTCCCAACAAGACTCATATAATCTTCATGAATGAATCACCCAAAAACTTATTTATTTTGTTTAAATATACGTGCATGTGGTTAATGGTAACAGCTATACAGATCTGATAGGTAACAATTACAACTATGTAGTAAAATTGATGACTTTTTCCCACTCTTTAGATATATTTTCTACTCTGCAGTTTACTTAGCAATGGATGAATAATTATTAAATGTATACATGCCTTCTTGAAATTATGCAATTTAAGTTTTCTTAAACGATATGACAACTAATAACCTTGATGAAAGCATGTATAAAAAATCTAACCTTATAACTGTCAAACTTGCTTGTTCGGATAGTTGTAAACAAATCCCATTAAAAATATTAAAGATTTGCCGATCAATAGAGATAACGATTGAAATATACGTCTGTGTTACTCGTACACTCTGTTCTATTTATCAAAGTAAATGATGTTTACAACAAGTAAGGCAAACTTTGAATCCTTTTATCGGTGCTTAATCTGAAGTTAGATACGTAACTTTATTTGTGATACTCATTATCAACCATTAAATTAATATGAAGACAAAACAAACTATCTACGTTATGTATATACCAAACTGTTTATTGGTAAAACTATAGCCACTTGGACCAAGTCAGGAAGCTAACCCGCTTGATAACAAAACATCGGTAAGTTTACTCTGGCAACCACAACCATCACCACCACTATAATCACCATCATCACCACAGTCACGATCATAACCAACCGCAAAATCAAAATACATATCTTCATCTTCAGTAACTAATATCGTCTGCGCCACCTGCATCATAACTACAATCATCATCATTACAACTAAATCCATCATTTCTTTTACACAATTACAATCACTTACCCCATTACCGCCATCAACATCACCAGCATCATTTTTTCACCATCACCATCATTACAATCATCATCCTTAACACAATTACAATCATCATCTTCATCATCATCATCGTAAACACCACCATCAGCAGCACAACCACCACCATCATCATATCAATCAATTATTACAACCATCAACTATCCCCATCAGCATCATCATTATCACCACCATCATTGCAACCATCATAATTATCATTATCATCATCACAATCATCACTACAATTACCATCTAGTCTCTACGATTATCATTCATTTCATTATCATTACAACCGGCATGGCTCTTATCAATACCACCACTACCAAAATGATCTTAACCACAACCATCTTTGCCACCTTGTCCTCCTTCCCCCTAATCCCCCCTTCCACCTTTATCACCACCATTATAGCCAGCACTATCACCACCACCACCACCAAGTTTATAATCGTCCCAATCATTATATTCCTGATCATTATGTTTACGACCACGACAATCGGCACCATTACAACCATCACAATATCAGTATTAGCTACATCGTCATCATTATTATTATCATCATCGTCCTCGTTGTCGTCATCATCATCATCATTACCATCATCATCAAAGTCAACACCATCGCCTTTGTGAATTATTGAAATTCTTTTTTTTTTATTTTAGCTTTTTGATAAATGATGGAAATAAATACTCTTTATGCTACAAAGGCACATTTGTATGGTGGCCGGTTGCGGCCATTTCAAACCCGCGAACATTTTGTAGTTTTATCATAAAAGTCGCGACCAACTCAAAAACATGCGAGGTTTTCTGCTGAAATCATTTGAAAATAGCAATTTTCAGCCACGACTTCCTTGCGCGGAGTAATTTCCCGGCAAAAAATATCGAAGCTTAATGCTAAAACTTGTCTTGTTACAAAGTATGCATCAAAACAATATATCTCGTATTATAATGGCCGCAATCCGTTACCTTAATTAGGCATATGTTTGATATTGGCTTAGTCCTCATTTTAGATAGAAAATGGCGCAGTTTCCTTCGTAAAACTTGACTTTTTGCGACAGGAGTGTTTCAGAAACTCGAGAGTTTCTTTAAGCCGCATTTCGACTTTAAATCCCGCAGTTTTAAATGGAAGCTTCCGGCCACCATACATCTGCAACCAAATCTATCTTTTTATCCATCCATCCATCCATCTATCTATCTGTCTATCCGTATTATCAAATAATAATAATAACAGGACAAATTTAAGGGCCGTTGTTATGGTTTTGGTATATGCATATGGGCAGAACAAAAATAGATTGAAGTTATTTGCACTGTGAATAATCCTGAAAATAAACATAAGCACATTTTTGCGGAAGATATTACGGGATCATCGATGTCATGGTTAAGCAGTTTTAATCTGTGACAACAAAAAAATCTTGTTTTTCATTCATTTATTATTGATAACAAAGTATGTTATTAAGAAATTGATGACGATCATAATAATAATGATAATAATAATAATAATAATAATTATTATTATTATAACAATAATAATGATAATTATAATAATAATAATGATAATAATAATTATTAAATAAAGGGAATTAAAATAGTTTTATATTAATTATGTACTAGCCTTTATACTCACATAAAACAAGGATTTTTTTAAATAAGGTCAAGACGGGCTAATTGCGACTTTGAGAAATAATGTTTGAATAATCGTGTTGTATATGACTGATCAAATATCAGACGCTACATATGTTAACAACCGCCTCACATGACACTAAATAAACACTATCATTGAAATCATACAGGCATGACTAGAAAATTTACCTTCAAGGTCAAGGTCATTAAACAGCCAATTTCATTTTAATATTCATCAAGGTCTTATCCTAAGGAATGTTCTGTTATAATATGATGTCAATCCTTTTAATAAGAACAAAGTTATAGAATGTTACAGCATAAATAAATATATGAAAATGTCAATAACATGACCTTTAATGTTATTTACGAGTGAAGGTAAAGATCTGTTGGTTAAACCTGAAAATCTAAAAATATGTTATGTTCAAGTGTGAAGACAATCTATTCAAAAATGAACAAGAGGGCCATGATGGCCCTGAAATCTCCCACCTGTATATAGGCCCTTGGGCCAAGGCAAATTTTTCAACCAGGGGCCCCTTTTTGAACAAACTTGTTAGACAACCATGAGAAGATGTTTCAAGATAAATTTCGAAGCTCTAGCTCTTTGGGGGATTTTATAACAAGATTTTTTAAGTTTTTACAATATACATTTAGGGAATAACAATGACTCCCCATGAAAGGGGCAAATGTTGACCCCTTAAGGGCTTTAATTTGAACAAACTTGGTAGACACTCACTAGACGACAGTTCATGCTTAGTATCTAAACTCTAGCTCTTTGGGTTTTTTAAAAGAAGATTTTTTATGTTTTTACTATACACATATTGGGAAAATCAGTGACCCCTGGGGTGGGCCAATTTTACCCCAAGGACCCTTATTTAAATAAACTTGGTAGACACCCATTAGAGGATGTTTCATGCTAAATATCTTAGCTCTATCTCTTTTGGGTTTTACAAGAAGATTTTTTATATAGTTTTTACTATATACATAAAGGGACAAACAATGACCGCCGTGGGCGTGGACAATTTTTACCCCAGGGCTTTTATTTGAACAAACGTGGTAGACACCCATTAGAAAATGTTTCATGCTTTATATCTAAGCTCTAGCTATTTTGGGTTTTTTTAAAAGAAAATTTTTGAAGTTTTTACTATACACAAAAAAAGGAAATCAATGACCCCCGGGGCGGGACCAATTTTGAGCCCAGGGCTTATATTTGAAGAAACTTGGTAGACACTATTTATATAATGTTTCATGCCAAATATTTCAGCTCTAGGTCTTTCAGTTTTCTAAAAGTACTTATTTTAAGTTTTCTTTCGGTTGTCATTGCAACCAGAGTTCTGCTTGGAATTAAATTCTTTGAACAAGTTTTAAAGTTGACTTTCAAAGTAACATCCTTGTGAAGTTTGAATGAAATTGGCTTAGGGGTTTATGAGGAGATGTCGTTTAACGTAAATGTTTACGGACGGACAGACGGACGGACGCCGGACGAAAAGCGATTATTAAAGCTTACCATGTCACTTTGTGACAGGTGAGCTAAAAAGTTCAAGCCACTAATATTAATAAATTAAGACAAATGACCAAGGTCAAGGTCAGTTATGAAGACCAAGGTTAGTCCGGTCTACTTAAAGGTCTTGTACCAAGAGTTGTTGTGTCCAAGTATGAAGACAATGCACCACAAACTTAAAAAGTAATTATCAAAGTACAAGTTTTTGGATGACCTCGGCAATGCCAGCATGACAGCAACAATACCTTTATTTTTTTTTAAAAAAAAGGGCATAACTGCATCAAAAATGATTTATTGCGGCCAAAATTGAACTAAATCTGTCTTTTGATACTAACATGGCAAATATAAAAACACTTTATTTCCTTCACAAGTTCTCCTACAGAAATCAATTGAACACCATGCCTTATAACATGCTTTTCAGTAAAAAAAATAGCATTACTTATAAAGTATAATTTAAAAGTAGCAAAGTGTGAGCAAAGTTTAGTAAAATAATTAAACAGCATAATTTATTCAAATACAAGAAACTAGAAGCAGGTCATAATCTGTTATTGTTTTTCAGAAAAATGATTGAAACTTTAACTTTTGAATTGATGTTCACTTTTAGCAGACATTTCAATCTTTTAATTTGCTAGTGTAATATGTTTACAATATATATTTTTTGTATAATTACTAGTCCTACCATGAATTAATGTAATACTGGAAAGGAGAAATTTAATAAATTATTTAAGATTTTAAATACTTTAAATAAAATGACATCGGTCAAACATAAAAAAGTAAAACCCTGATACACAACAACATGGGTGCAAGTTGAAAATTTGGAAAAAGTCATTTATCAATCATTTTCCCATATAATATAATAGTAAAAAATGATGAAATTTGTGACACAAATCTGGGCTTCAGTCATTTGCCTGGAAACTTGCACCCATGCAGCAAGTGATTACAGTAAACATGTTTAAAAAGTTTGATGACTCTAATTAATTACTAAGGGATCAGTTATTACGACAATATGGCATACCTTAGAACATTATGATAAGGAAAGACCTTTACTGTACATGCAATCAGCAACAGATCAAAATTTAATATTGAAACAAGAGCCATGTTAGCATGGCCATCCCCCGCCGAATGTGTTTGCTCATCGTAAAAATCTATATGTAGTAGAGCAGAATATTTCAATCTAAAGAGGTCTTTTTGTAATGAAAACTGATTGCTGAAGTGATTACAGATTTGAAACCTATGTGAATACTGATGGCTGAAAATAACAAAGAGCAATAACTCAAAAAATGCAATGTAGGTTATCATTCTTGTGTGCTGCACTCCTCCTCAATGAGTTCTATCCACCTATGAAGTTTCAAGTTGATACCTCTAACACATTTTGAGATAAAGTATGAAAAATAACAAAGGACAACAACTCAAACCTACGAAGTTTCGTGTTGACATCTCAAAGACTTTTTGAGTTATGCTCCACTCAGGTGAAAAATTAAATATGAAAAATAACAAAGGGCAATAACCAAAAAATTATGAAGGGTAGAGTTATTATTCTTGTGAACTGCACACCTCCTAAGTAAGATATATGCACCCATGAAGTTTCACGTTGATATCTCAAAGGCTTTTTTAGTTATGCTCTGGACAAAAATAAAGTTTGAAAAATAAGGGCAATAACTCAAAATTATTCAGAATAGAGTTATCATTTTTGTGTGCTGCACTCCTCCTCAAATATGATCTATCCACCTATTAAGTTTCAAGTTGATACCTCTAACGCTTTTTGAGATAAGCTCCGGACAGAAAGTATGAAAATAACAAAGGGCAATAACTCAAAAAATATATAGTAGAGTTATCATTCTTGCGCACAGCA